ATTAATGCCACTTATTCATATCTCCCACACTCATCCTCCTCCTCCTCCTCCTCCTCCTTTATTCTCTTGTTAAGTATTTTATTGCCTACTTTACATATATATTAATCATTGTTTTTTGTTTGTTTTTCAGATATAGTCAACAGCAGCTTACAAAGGTTCAAAATCCCAGAAGTCGTTCGTATTGAGCATTTACAAGGAGGATTGAATATTGTGGAACTCTTTCATGGAAGAACTATGGCTTTCAAGGACTTGGCTCTGTCCGTAGTGGGTAACCTACTGAACTACTTTCTCAGTAAGAGTGGTCAGCACATCACGATCCTCATAGGTAAATTGCAAGACCATGTGGAGTACTGTATCAGGTTACAATAGCTAATTATTAACTCTTGATTTATTAGATACTTAATAAGACAAAGAAAGTTTAATCGTAATATGTACAGTAGTTAGTAGAGTGTTCACCTGAGGCAAATAAAGTCACTGTGATCTAATTTTAGGAGAAATATAAGTCAAGTTAAATTTATGTCTTGCATAGTCACAAACAAAGTCCTGTTCCTCTTTTCTACTTCTCCATGAACTCTTGAACCCAAAGCAGTATCACTGATAGCATTAATCTGTCCATAAATGCTTTGGATTCATGAGTCTGAATCTTGGATTTGTGGAGCAGCAGGACTACCAATGAAAAACTATTTTACATGAAAAGTAGTGCAATCAACCAAGTACAGTAGAGTCGGAATATATCGCGACTATATAACGATTTTTTTATATTGCGGCTACCAAAATTATCAAAATTTTCCTATATATAGCGATAAATTTTTGTAATTCGCGAGGGAAATTGGGCAGGAAATATTTCAAATGTACCGCCATGGCAAACAAATGTGTATTTGCTCACCAGAGGGGCCACCGTGGTTGCTCACACACGCATTCACACTCGCCGGCTCAGTTTTTCTGAGTGAGTGGCAAGAAAGCAGCCGACTCTGCTGCAGATTACGACTTCTAAAGTGAGTGTAAATGGGTTGCTAGTGATGTGAAAAGTGAAGTGAGGATAATGGAAAGCTTAATGGAAATTTTTTAATACTGTAACCAATATTTTTGGTTTGTTCGTTTATGATAGTTAAGTGAGGGTGGCAGTGTGTCGTCTTTTGTTCTCGGGATGGCGCATCAGCTGCCGAGTCTGATGCAGATTCAAATTTCTAAAGCGAGTGTAAATGGGTTGCTAGTGATGTGAAAAGTGAAGAAAAGATAAAGGAAAGCTTAATGGAAATTATTTAATACCGTAACTAATATTTTTGGTATTTGTTTTTGTACAGTAGGTGTGGGATTGTCAAGTGAGGGTGGTGGCAGTGTGGCGTCTGCTGCCGAGTCTAGTGTTCCTGAGTCTGGTGTTCATTGATATTGAAGTGGCCTGTTGTTTCCGAGTTTAGAGTTCATTGGTGGTTAAGTTAGTAAGAAAATGAACTCATTAAGTCAATTTAGTCACTTTTTTGGGCCTCCAAAACCTAACCCTATTTTCCCCATTGATTACATGTAATTATATATCGCGATTTAGTATATAGAGAACATCCTTGGACCCTATCTCGCGATATATCCCGACCCTACTGTATACTACCACTACACTGTTGTGGAAGCACAATGTTTGAAGCAGCTAAATTTAGTTTTACGATGTTCCATTGAATCTTGTTTCATGTTGGCAAAGTCTTCAAAATCATGAACAATTTCCAGATGAAAATTAAATATATCACTAATAAGAAGCCACTCACTCGGCACCATGTAGCTCTGTCTAATACTTCAGTGTTTGCTGGCCACCTGAAAACAGTGTGTACTGGTCTCTCAACACATTGTGTATTGGCCTCTCAACACAGTACAGTACTTACTGGCCTCTCAACACAGTACAGTACTTACTGGCCTCTCAACACAGTACAGTACTTACTGGCCTCTCAACACAGTACAGTACTACTGGCCTCTCAACACAGTACAGTACTTACTGGCCTCTCAACACAGTACAGTACTTACTGGCCTCTCAATACAGTACAGTACTTACTGGCCTCTCAACACAGTACAGTACTTACTGGCCTCTCAACACAGTACAGTACTTACTGGCCTCTCAACACAGTACAGTACTTACTGGCCTCTCAACACAGTGTTTACTCACCTCTCAACAGAGTGTTTACTCACCTTTCAACACAGTGTTTACTCACCTCTCAACACAATGTTTACTGGCCTCTCAACACAGTGTTTACTGGCCTCTCAACACAGTGCTTACTGGCCTCTCAACACAGTGTTTACTCACCTCTCAACACAGTGTTTACTCACCTTTCAACACAGTGTTTACTTACCTCTCAACACAATGTTTACTGGCTTCTCAACACAGTGTTTACTGGCTTCTCAACACAGTGCTTACTGGCCTCTCAACACAGTGCTTACTGGCCTCTCAACGCCATGCCTACTGGCCTCGCAACACAGTGCCTACTGGCCTCTCAACAAAGTGCTTACTGGCCTCTCAAGGCAGTGCCTACTTGCATCTCAACACAGTGCTTACTGGTATCTCAACACAGTGTTTACTGGCCTCAACACAGTGTTTACTGGCCTCTCAACACTAAAGCTAACTAGTTAGCTATAGATGCTGACTCACTTTTGTCCTAGAAAGGATCAGATTCGCCATTACGTAAAGATGTAGTAAATGTTAGCTTTTAAAAATATCCTGCAAAGCCCATGAGAAATAGGTCACAATAATTGTATAATGTGTCACCAAGGAACACCGCTCCCTCACTCACCAGCCTCCCACACTATAAACAGTATCATAGTTGATCTGTGAATGGCTGTTTGTAGGACCTGAGGACAGTATTATCATTGGGATCTATTAATTTTTTAAACATGGGTAATCAAATTATTTACTACCTTATGACAAACATATTATAATTTGCTGTCATCAAGTATTAAACATTTGTTTTTCTGACCAGAAAAGTAAAGGGTTAAGTGATAGTGTTCATTCTATAAAGGAACAATACTTTTATACATTTCCACTATTATTGTCACCTTTAGGCACATCAGGTGATACTGGTAGTGCGGCCATTGAGAGTGTGCGCGGAAGAGAGTGCATAGACATTATTGTACTTCTGCCACACGGTCGTTGCACAGTCATTCAGGAGTTACAGATGACTACAGTTATTGAAGACAATGTTCATGTTTATTGTGGTGAGTTGTTTACTCATATGATATTTCTATTTTATTAGATATACATGGCAGGAACTGTATGAGAGCCATGATAGGGAGTAGTGTCCAGTACAGTACACAGGCTGAATTGGCTTATACAGGTTGACAATCCCTTATCCGAAATCCTTGGGACCAGATGCATTTCGGTTTTTGAAATTTTTCGGATTTCAGAATGGTTAGTTTTTTTTTTTTTTTTTTTCAGGGATCAGCCCACCTGGGCACAGCAGGTCACTGACTCACATTGGGGCCTGGGGGCTAAAATATAATAATAATAATAATAATAATAATAATTATAATAATAATAATAATAATAATAATAATTCATAGGTCTAGGTCATGTTTCTCACGTGATCTTTTTTTTCATTCTTGTATTTCTTTATTATTATTATTTCATTATTACAGTATTATTGTTATCATTCTTATTTTATTTTTGTGTATTTTATATTAAAATTTTTATTTACTATGAATAATTATTATTATTACTGTATTATCATTATTATTATTACCTGTATTATTATAATTATTATTACTATTACATTTTCATCCCCCAGGCCCCGATGTGGGTCAGTGACATGTGCCTGGGTGGGCTAATCCCCAAAAAAAATAAAAAAATTGCTCCACAAAAAATTTTCTGTTTTCAGAGCTTTTCGGTTTTCGGAATTTCGGATAAAGGGTTGTCAACCTGTAACATATCAGAAATACAATAATAGCAGCTTTGTTGATGTTACATATATATAAAATTATGGATTGTTTGTGGAAAGTCCCTAACATGCCAAGTGATGTTTCATATGAAAAGCACAGAACCAAAGTAGGTTAAGTGCCAGTATGCCTGATAACAATATGTAATGATGTCTTCCACTAGCATCAATTCAATCTGCCACTCGAATCACTTCAATATCTTCATTGGTTCCAAAGTTGTGGTAATTTGAAGGTTTGCAAACTTTAACTGCAACTTTCCGTTTTCATTTATGGTGCTTATCCTACCTTTGTTCCGTGTGTCACATATGTTCTTCTTGTAATTTCTTAACTCGGATTTCTGGCTTTGATAATACAGTATAGTTCAGAGTAATTTTCTATGAAAGGTACTGGTAGTTAATGTAGTAGGTCCTCCATGAGTGTGTGTGTGTGGCTGTTTTCTTTACATTTGACATTATTTCCCTTTCTTTATCTTTTATGCACATCTTTGGCAGTTGAAGGAAACTCTGATGAATTAGACAAGCCTATCAAGCAGTGTTTTGCTGACAAGGAGTTTGTCTCGGCTCACAATCTCATCTCAATCAACTCCATCAACTGGGGACGCATCATGGCACAAGTGGCTCACTTCTTCTTCACATACTACCAACTGTGTGGCAACGTGGGTGACCTCGTCCAGGTGATAGTACCAACTGGAGCTGCTGGTAACATAACAGGTAAAAGATTAATTAAAAGAGAATCATAATTGTCTATGTACAGTAAATCCTCAAAAATCTGGACTAAAGGGGCGGACCACCTGTCCAAAAAAGCCGATTGTCCATATCCTCTGGCGAATGTATTAAATGTATAAAAACGATAAATGGTGAAGAGAAAAAACACCCAAAATGCAGTACAGGGTACCATATTTTACCGCTTATAAGACGCACTCTCCATTTTAGCAGGGAGTATTTAGGAAAAAACTTTGTGTGTGTATTTTCCTCCTGTCACCATAGTTTTCTTAAAATAATATAGTATATACAGTACCAGGAAAAGTGAGAAACAAATAAGAGTAATACCAATAAATAGGTTCCAACAAAAATACAGTATTGCCAAATCAGTAAATAAAAGCCAAATAAAAGATTAGCACAGTCACCATTTGCATACACTCCCTGCTTCATCATAACAATGGACACCAGCTAGGAGGCAGATTCCCTGGCAATGCTCCCCCCACCCCCTACACTCTGTGCTCTCCTCCTGCTCCCTCACTGAGCCAACTAACTTGTGTACAAAGAAATGTAGATTCCCTTTACGTGTTTGCCCTTAGGACAATTATTTCTTATACTTTTTTCGCAATACAGTACCTGTATGTATGTAGGATGGTGTGTGTATGTAACTGAGTAAATATAAATGAAAAACATTAGGTATATTTACTAAAAAATATGGGTTGAAAGACAACCATAACACCTCACAACTTGGCCCAGTAGCCTGGTGGTTACAGTGATGAGTCTAACCTGGCTACAATGCCATGATTAATCACTATTAATTACTATTATATCAGTAAATACTAATAATAACAGTAAATCCAGTGGAATATGGCAGGGGGCGAGGAGATACAACAGCAGACGATGCTCTAACTAGTGATCACTCAATCACGTTGCCAGGTGTACGATCGAAATATGTATGGGAGAAATAAATATCTTGTAGTCTAATTTGAAAATGGTGATGGGCACAGTGATAAACAAATTATATAAATCATGCATTTACCTATGATAACATAATAAGAAACATTGAATCATTACTACAGTGAATGAAATAATATTCCCACAAACAACAATTGACAACTCTGCTTGTTTCCTGCCTTCTGTTTATGTTTCCCGTCTCGGGCACCTGTGTCCCGCACGCTGACATCTTGGTTACATGGACGTAAGATGATCTTTGCTCTGTTTTGGGAATGCGTCTTAGAGAGGCTTCTTAGCCCCTGGAACCCCAAATTTTGTCCGAATCTTCCGAAATCCGGATGTACCGGGTCCGAATCTTCAAGGGTTCACTGTACTTTATATTCTTAATGCATCATTTCCTTTCATTAAACTGTAACTTTGAGTCGGCTAGTATTTGCTGTTTTTACTTTAAGAGTTACTAGATACAGAATATTCCTAACATAAAACAAGAAAAACAAGTTTTTTTTTTTTTTTTTTTTTTTTTTTTTTTTCTCTCTCTTTAAACTCTCAAAGTCAGTGGTCCAACACATTGAAGATTACATCCTCTCTTGAAGTAAGAGTTTGGGTAATTATATACCGAACAAATATTGCAGCAAATCTTTATTAAATGTTTTATGGGTAATTTCTGTAGTACAAAAATTTTTGTCATTGTACAGTACAATATATTAGAGTTTGAAATAAAGTCGTGTTTATTTGTTATTACCACAAACAAATAACATTAAAAATATGCATTAAGGTTCTCTCTTCACTGTCAAGTAATAGGGATACAAAACACTGTTGATGGTATAATATGTTCTGACCAAAATATGTGGCCCATATTTCTAAAAATATGTGAAAATCCATACCTATTAATATCTCACTGTTTATATTTTTAATTGTAGCCTTTATGACATTTGAATCAGTGACAATAACTTCTCATGCTTCAAATGGATATTGTGTTTAGCTCCTCTGAGGACAAAAGGGTTAAAACAAGATCTGTTTTAAGACTTAAAATATCATCCAGAAAGGGGTAAACTATCATCCTCAAAAGGGTAAAACATCATCCTGGGGGAATTAATAATTTTAAAAGACTGTTGATGTTTCCAATACAAGAAAGTTCTCATGTTGTCTATCTTCTAAAGGTTATTCATGCCCATAACTGATGCCAACAGCTGGCTGCATAGCACAGAAAATGGGACTACCCATCACGCTGGTGTCAGGAGTAAACATTAACGACTCTGTATCAAGGGCAATAGAAAAAGGAGACTTTTCACTGAAGGATGAAGTATATCAGTCTCTTGCCCCTGCCATGGATATACAGGTAAGGTAGCAAGCTGTGTTTGTGTTAATATTATGAGGAAGGTAAAAGAACTTAGCTACATACTCTGGTATTCATACAGCCATATCTCTTTTCATCTCTTGCTTTTTTTCATAATTTTGCAGTTGATATCTCTATTTATGACTGTATAGGCAAGGGCAAGGATATTCAAAAGTGGTAAAAAGTTATGACCTGCGAGCGATATGGGACTATGGAAGCTGTGACCTACCTATGATGTCCATTATGACTGCATACTCAAAAAAAGTTATCACATCATGTGGTGGTTACATCTTAGCCATGAGATACGACTCGGTCAATGACGTAAAGTTGACAATATACCTCACAATCTATTGACCATTCCCAACACAGTTATAACTACTGGGAGCAGCCTAATTTCTTTGATGGTCCTCTTAGAAGAGGTGAGGAGGTAGGTTATCCTCGGGAAGCTGGATAATACCAACATGGTCAAGACTAAAAACAACGCCTGGTTTGTGGTGGTAGAGGCAGGAAATGCTGCATTTAAATAAACCAGATGAGAGAGAGAGAAAATAATGACTTATAAACTGATGTATCATCCTGGCAAAATTATTAATGTTATTACAGTATAGTACAGTATTATCATTCTTAATTAACTTCCGATAATTGTATAGACACTCCCTTCAGAAGCCTTTACTTTATGTATTTGAATATATGGCTGTAGTGCCCTGCCCCTTAAGAATATACTGTGATGTAGGTGAAGTCAGGCAAAAATTTATACTTGGGTAATGATTCTACTTATACTGGCTTGGGTCAATCCTGTGTTATCTCCAATTACACTTTGATGCTGTAGAAGCATGAAATCTTGTTCAACAAGGAAATTGATATTAGCGAATCGAATTTTCATCACTAACTACAAAGGATCCACCAGATCCCTGTATACCTTCTTTCCCTGTGCAGGGTTACAGTTGAACACATATGCTGGTACTAACTCCATGAACACCACCATGTAGTCTGTCAGTGGTGTCACTGCATGAAATGCATTCGCCTATGAATACAGCGATTTGTGGTTATTTGAGTATTTTTTTGCCTTCTTGGGTTAAATTGGCTCTTGCTTCTATATACTTTCACTTGTAACTGTATATTTCAGTTTATAATTTCAATATATTTTAACCCCTGGGCTTCTGGCTATGGTCAGCAATCCCCCCCCCCCCCATGTGGGCATATTGGCATATTCAGGAACATTTAAGAAAATTAAAATAAAAAGCATTTCTAGTCTTACAAACTGGTCATTCATGATATAAACAGGAAATAAACATGTCCTTACCACAGGTTGGCAACACACGGGCTCAGAAAAGTCTAGAATGTTCGTAAAGTGGCGTATGTATGACTCGATAGTACGAGGTAAACAACGCTAATTTGTAGGCAGTATGAAGTACAGTACCCTTGTTTTACCATGTTATTACTATTTATGCTATTAACAATCATTATTACTACTCCAGTAACTGATCACAATACTAGACTTGTGCTTTGGGGTGGGAGGGTAGAAACACATGGTAAAGTGACTCAAGACCAAGGATGAGATTCCTACATCACAAAAGCTGAGAAGCTACTAAGAGGAGACTGGGAGACTCTCATGTGTGAGTGAGTGAGTGAAAGATAAATACCTACTTGGCAACATAATCTAGCCAGGCCCGTCCTTTTTATTCAAACAGGCCCACAAAAGTTCAGAACATTGTGTAACGTGACTCGAAGCTCTACAGAATGCAGGTCACAGGATGTGACCCTACACCTTGGGGTTAAATATCTGTAGTAATGCTAAAGAGGATGGGGCATCAAAGATTACAGTCTCACTTATAGCACCCCCTGAGGAGTCCTAACTTTGTGTGACCAAATGTCATAAAACATGGCAGCGCCCAGGGGTCAATTTTGTTTTGAGTATCGAGTCACAGTGAAAAAATTAAATCATCGCTGAAGTTATGACCAACTTTGGGAGATACAGGTAGAACGTCTTAAATATTTTTGAGTATCCAGCCCCAGACTCGTACTAAATACATATTCCTGGGATCGTCTGAAGATTAGCCCCAGCTTAATGTCATCCTCATTCTAAACTAACCTAACCTAATTTAGTCTAAGTTAACGTAACCCTCCCTTCCAGGTTGCATTAAGGTGTTTAATTGTCAGATAATATAAGTCAGGCAGCTGATCTTATGTAGTGCCATTTCAGATTCCATATAATGTGGAGAGGTTGGTGTATATATATGCTGACAGTAACACTAAGAGGGTCAAAGACATCATGGATAAATATGAGAAGGACGGCAAGACGAGTATTCCTCGGGACATTTTGGACGCCATGAGGAAGACCATTATTGGTGAGGCTCTTAACCCTTTGAGTATGATGACTTAATCCCTGAGTACAATGACTTAATTCTTTGAGTACGATGACTTAATCCCTTGAGTATGATTACTTAACCCCTTGAGTATGATTACTTAACCCCTTGAGTATAATGACTGAATCCCTTGAGTTCAAGGAGTTAATCCCTGAGTGCAATAACTTAATCCCTTGGAATATGATGACTATCCCCTTGAGTGTGTTGACCAATCCCTTGAATATGATGAATTATCCCCAGGAGTATGATGATTTAAACCCTTGAGTCCAATGACTTAATCCCATAAATATGATGATTTATCCCCCTTGAGTATGAAAAGTTAACCTCTTGAGTATGGTAACTTAATCCCTTGTCCATGATGAGTTAATCCCTTGAGTATGGTAATTTGATCTCTTGACTATGATGAGTTAACCCCTTGAGTATGATAACAATCCCTTGTCCATGATGAGTTAACCCCTTGAGTTTGATAACAATCCCTTGACTATGATGAGTTAACCCCTTCAGTATGTTAACAATCCCTTGACTATTATGAGTTAAGCCATCCCCTTCAGTATGATAATTTGATCCCTTGAGTATAACTTAACCCTAAGTATAATAATAGTAGGTAGCAGGCAGCTATCATACAGGGAGGTACTACCGCCTGGGAAGATATTGGAAGCATAATGTGTTATCTAATGGTAGACCCTGCTACCATATGGCATCATATAATTGTGACCAAGTCCCAGGTTGCTGACCTGACTGACCTATTTTACACAGAATTGCAGGGTCTCAATTGTTTCTCTTTCTTTGTCAACACAATGTTTATATTGTTTCTCACTCTTGATCTGTTTAATTTCTGCATTTTTTGATGGTGCAATTTATCTAAACAGATATCTCCATTAGTTGGAATTGAAATTTTCTCGGAAAATCATTCCCAAAGCCAGAATTTTCTGAAAAATTATGGCTTAGGGAACAATTTTCCGAGGGGCTCATTTTCTGGAAAATTCCGAGAAAATTTTCCCAGTACCCAGAAAATTCTGGGGATGGGGGATTTTTTTTTTCAGGTTTGTGGGATGAAAATCGGGCACTTTTTCCGGAAATTCTAAGAAAAATTTTCTGGTACCCGGAAAATTCCAGGGAAGGGGGATATTTTTCTGGGTTCAAAAGATGATGTACAATGGCAATTTCTGGAACTTACGAGAATATTTTTCCGTTACTCGGAAAATTCCGGGGAAGAGGGATTTTTTCCAGCTTTGAGAGATGAAATAATGCATCATTCTGGAACTTCGGAGAAAATTTTTCCGTTACCAGAAAATTCCAGGAATGAGGGATTTTTTTCCGGCTTTGAGAGAGTCGTCTTGTTCCCAAAAATCTCATTCTCGGGTGGGTTAATCCCCATAAAATATGTTTAATTAACCCCTTGGTTACAATGGCTTGAATTCAATGACTTAACCCCTTGAGTATGATGACTCAAGGGCTAAGAAAACCATCTCAAGTTTCATATTTAACTCTTCACTACAGGATGTCACTTTTAATATTTTATTTGGCTAATGTCAGACAATTTTATTCAGCTCAGAGGAGGTCCTGTACACAATAGGTTAATGCTGAGATGATGTGTAAAATGCAATACTGTACAAGAGGATAAACTGTATTAACAATAGGTGCTGTAATATGTAAATGTAAGTACAGTTAACCCTCACTTTACGCGGTTAATGTAACCCGGAGGGTACCGCGGAAAGCGAGAAACGCGTAAAGTGAATAACATAACATATGGGATTAATTGAAATGGAGTCCGGGCCGATCCCCAAACTCCACTTTTTGACGACACACAACTATGTTGTAGTAAAAATTTTATCTTAACTTTATGATGGTATGAAAAAACAAGTAATATAGAAGAGGTTAGGTTAGGAAAGATAAAGGTTAACATTGGAAAAATAAAGGTTAGGTTAGAAAACTAAAAATTTGGTAGAAGAGATGGGTCGGCATACGGGGATGGAGGCTGGTTCCGAGGCAGATGGCAGATTACTGGCCCTCAGGTGAATCACCATTACTAGGTGCATCACCATCACTATCAGTTACAGTTGTCAGGGCTTCCCTGACAAATCCCTCAAAGTCACCTTCACTGTCACTATCACTATCACAGAACAATGGATGCACTATACACGGTGTGGCCTGGAGGGATGAAACTGCCGCGGCTAGGTCAAGCGTCGTCTTTCCTCCCTCCCTCCCTCCCTCCCCCGGGTGGACACGTCATAATACTTTAAGCCAATTACAGCTAGCAGCAGAGGGGGGTAGGGATGCATGGCCAATCACAGGTCTGATACGTCATATGACGTCAGTGATAACGCAACAAAGACACACATTGCGCAACCTTACTGCGCCGCTTGCCCAAGCGGAGGGAGGAGGAAGGAGAGGCAGGCGGGCGGGTGGGGCGAATCTAAAAATAGCGTCGCGCCGGACACTCTCCGCGTAATGGGGTTCACGTACCGCGTAATGTGAGCACGTGAGGTTCTGGCAAGGCACCGCGTTAACGTGGAAACGCGGAATGCGGGACCGCGTAAAGTGAGGGTTAACTGTACTTGTAATACATGTTAAATAACACTCTTTATCTGTCCTCAGTAAGAGATATTAAGTTACTGTTATTGCATTTACTTTTTAAATCACACGAAATGTTGTTGTTGTTATTTGCAATTTGTTCTATCTTGTACTGTATAGGTAATCATGCATTGTGTGCACGATGTAGGTTTTGCTAAATTTCCCTTTCTTCCTTAGTATCATAGCACCATTCATTTATTATTACCACAGCTTCTCCTTTTATGAGACCACTGTAGAAGTTGAACGCCTCTGCTTTAACCTTCCATTCTTTGCCTTAGTCTTATTGTACAATTTCTGGTGTTTGTTATACCTTAACCATAATTTTTTTATTGTTTTTCTTTTTTGTTTTATTTTTACATAACTTACCACCCAGCTCATTTTTTATTTTATTTTTTCTTAACTTATTTTAAACTTACCCAATGCAGTTTTCTTGTGTCCATAGAATCAATTGTGGTTGATGATGCCAGAATAACAGAGGTGATGCAAAGAATACATGAGGAGCATAAATATGTAGTGTGTCCCCATACTGCAGTGGCTGCTGCCTATCACTACCAAAGGTAAGAACCTCATTTTTCTCTCCTATTTAGAAAGACCCTTAGTTAATGTTACAGGTACTTTGTTTTTAGTATTTTAACTTTTTACCAATTTGAATGGTGAAATTTACCATTTTGATCTAATTTATAAGTGAACACCATGTACAAGAGTCATTCTTCTGTACAATACCTCATTCAGCTCCTCACTGGAGGAAGACCTTCACACAAGACCTTCCTGGCCTTCCTCTCTCTATATACATGTACAATACCTCCCTTAATTTATTGTCACTTCACTCCCAGTTGAGGTGGTACCCCTCTACCCAACACACTTGCTACTCTTTCTTTGTACATCCTCAAGTATCAGAAAAAAAATATTTAAACTACTGTAGGTGTAGTGTATAGCAGATAAGATTGGAGGGTGATGTCTCCTATAAAATAATGGATAAATGTAGTAAAGAAAGTTGCAGTAAAAAATATGTATAAAGAGCACTTAGAAAGTGTGAATGAGTTTAACAGTAAATTACCTTAAATGGCAATTTTTATGATAATTGATAAACTTGTTTTAATCTATGTTTTGAAAATAGATACAGGGGTCTTCATTATATGTTAGCTATGTAATCCAGAGAAACGTGACTTAAAGTGAAACATTTTATAAAGAGGAATTTTTCTCCATAAGAATTAATGTAATATACGTAGTACAGGGTATATGAGTTCCAACGTATACTACAATTATACCCTTGAAAGCTCAGGATGTGTTCCTAGAGAGGGAGCTTTCAGCAATTTAGCTTATAACAAGGTCATTATAACACACTGTATATTATTTCATATGGAGATACCTTCCTAACAACATTAATTTTACCTTTGAGTGTTATGTGATGGCTCAATTTTGCTACTTGTACAATCTCGTTCAAGATTCTTCGAACACTGCTGGAGACAGCTGGGAACTCGAGGCTGTTTGTTTACAATAGTAAGTACAGTCGACCCTCGTTAATTCGGACTCCTTTAATCCGGATTTCGGATAATTCGGACAAAATCTGAATGAACTTCTTTTTTTTTTTAGATTTGTAGGAATATTACCTACGCGGACCTTAAGCTAAAATGCTGGTCCAGCCACTGCTGGGATAAAACACCAGCGTCTTTTTGGTTAAATGTAACATCTCCACCACTAGTGGGGGGGGGGGGATGCAACTTTTAGCTTCAGACATGAAAAATATTTACCATTTACTGCCAGTAAACAATGGAAACGTAAAATATGTACCAATTAGTAATGAAAAGTTGTGCAGTTCCTTCAGCAAATGAAGCTCACCAACTTACAATAGCCTAAATTACCTTACAACGAGTTTTCAGTTGTCTATGTTGAAGTTCTTAGCACAGGCTAACTTATCATATCATATACGGTATCACAGTTCTCATTGATCTACAAACAATACCGGTAATAAAACCTTTTCGATATTTCACACTTAATATAATACCCGGTAATCTACTTCAACCTCCTATTGTTTACAACGACGCATGACGCACCACCAGCTGTTGAGTATCAGCTAGACAGTACACGTGTTTTTTGAATCGTTTTCAGTTAAAAAACTGTTACATCACATATATATTTTACCTTAACTGTGCCTGAATGAATATATTCTCGGAAATAAATAGTAGTTTTGCTGAAACGTGATGTATTTTAATGTAAAATAGGATAAAATACATGACGAAAACAAAAGATTTTACCTAACCTTCCGATGTTCAAGAGAAGTTACTCATTTTTTTTAATAGATTTTGGTTAAAATACTGTTATATTACAATGGTATTCTATTCATACTGTGCTTGATATAATACATTCACGGAAATGTTATATTTTTGCTGAAATGACGTACGTATTACAGTGGAAAGTGGGACAAAATCGTGACGAAAACAATGACTTTCGCTTTCTTTCGTTCAAAAGATGTTACCGTAATCTCTTTTCGATTGGTTTTCAGTTAAAAAACTGTTGTATTACAATAATATTCTATCCTAATTGACTTGAATAAATACTACGATACCATATTTCTGAATATTTTCTTTAAAATCCATCCAAATCATTTTCCTTGTCATCGTCTGCAGCACCAAACAGCTTCTCCCAGTCCTCTCCTTGAACAGGGCTAGAGGGTACGTGTTTTTCGAATCGTTTTCAGTTAAAAAACTGTTACATCACACGTATATTTTACCTAAACTGCGCCTGAATTAATATATTCTCGGAAATAAATAGTAGTTTTGCTGAAACGTGATGTATTTCAATGTAAAATAGGATAAAATACATGACGCAAACAATAGACTTTACCTAAGCTTCCGATGTTCTTGAGATGTTATTCGTTTTTTTACTAGTTTTCGGTTAAAATACTGTTATATTACAATGATATTCTATTCATACTGTGCTTGATATAATACATTCACGGAAATGTAATATTTTTGCTGAAATTACGTATGTATTACAGTGGAAAGTGGGATAAAATCGTGACGAAAACAACGACTTTGAAATATCATGCAATATTAACCCCTAAATCGGTTAATTCGGACAATCGGCTAAAACGGACACCCTTTCCCCCCTATTAGTCAAAATTAACGAGGGTCAACTGTAGTATAATATAATACGAAACAACAAAGCCCATCCATTAATTAAGCAGCGGGGAACTAAGTAACCAATCACCGATCAGTTTTACACTCATTCATAATTTTCACTATGTAGAATAGTAAACAAACTGCCTTGAGTTGCCAGCTGTCTCCAGCAGTGTTCAAAGAATTTTAAACAAGACTGTACACTTCAACAACTGATCAGTGGATAAACCAAGGCATGTGGAGATGCATTATACTGTACAGTACAATGATATTTTTAAGTGCTACAGCATTATTTACTAAGTACTAAAGACAGATCCTGTGGTAAGCACCAACCCTCTTGAGCAATGACAATAATGGTGCTCAAGAGATGGTGAGTGCTGGCAACATAATAACATTGTGAGGGAGGCCGAGAACAATCAGCTTTTCTCACTCTGTAAACAAGAGACCGGGAATATAATACAATGTAATAATTCATATGAGATTGTGTGTTGGATTTTTTTGGGGGGGAAAGGGGGGGATTTTATTACTTTACAGTAATGTTCTATTAACCCAGAACCAAATGAACTTAAATAACATGGTAATTATGATGAAATTGAATATTGTTGTTATAACGTGATCTCAGGTTGACAAGCACGGGGAAAAGTTGTCCCCCAGTTCAGCCAGCACTCTGTTCCTCCTCCCCCACCACCTTCCACCTCCTCTCTCTTGCTATGCACTCAGGCTACCATGAGGATCTTTTAAGCCTTTATCACAACTAAACAAAGTTTTTTTTTTACGTGTAAACCCTCCATTGTATAAGAATTGAATATGATTTTTTAATAAACTTAAATTTTTTGGTGTTGGAACACTTACAGTACGTGAATTAAATGTCCACAGTGAGGTACAGTATACAGTAATCCAGGAAGTCATGGTGTGTTGCCAAACCAATTGCTGCTCTCAGATACACTACATCTCCCACACAAAATATACCCTTACTCTCTTAATTATTCATTTATATCTCTATATTACTGTACATACATTACATATTCATTTCTTTATTCATAAGGTACACTAGCACATTGAGGTGACTTTTTTTGCAGATTCTGGGGCTACTTACATAGAACAATGGCAGAGCGTACACTGGTGTTTGGGGGTGACTAATGTATTTTGGTGTGGTAGAAACTTAACACTTGTAGGGCACTTTTATTTCTATTATGGTTATTTTTGCATTATATTAGATGTTTTTAAAACTATTTATGCATCACATTTGGCTACACACAGATTTAGTATAAAACAGTGGATGATGCAGATGACATATATGTGAAAAAATAGACATAATGAAAATTCCTTCCAAATTTTGTGAGCAACATATATGTGAAATGACCCCCTGTATATTCATGTTTTGTCAATGGTGTTTATTGTAGGAAGTCAGATGCACCCAGAGGGTATATTGCCACAGCATCACCAGCCAAGTTCCCAGAGGCAGTAGAAAAAGCTAAGGCTGACCCAGTGATTGAGGGAGTTGATCACCTTAAGTACCTTCCTACAAAGTTCCAGTGGATGAAGAAGGGAGAGGACTGGTACTCCATTCTCCGTTCAAAAATTGAAGTCATAACAGAAAATATGAAGAACAAGGAGACGCGGTGAACTTTTCCTGGTTAAATGTTTTTCATAAGTAACTGCCAGATAACACATTGGTAAAGAGTGTATTTTTATAATGATGAGCAGTATAGTTTTATTAATCTATATTTTAAATGTGTTAATATTTCCATTCATCAGTCACATTGGTCTATAATCTCCACTCTGCTCCTACACACCGAGGTAAACTTATAATTTACTACTTAACTTGAAAATAAGGTACAAGTAGGACACATTAGTAGTGAGGGGGAATGGGAAGTAGCAGTGTGAGCAAGGAACCAGAGAACATGATGTAGGGCTGGTTTCAAAGTCACCAGTATTTGTTCCGACAAATGTGGGTTATTCGCATGATTAATTGTATACCTTACACTACCCGAATAAGCAAGATAAACGGCAACTTAGCATAGCTTAAATCACTTCCTTCCCGTGTGCTAGATGACATTCCCATGTTCTCCATGCACCTTTGATTCACACAGGTCATCACCAAGTGCTCAGCCCTCAGTGGATTTAACCCCTGTATCTCATACACGTGACACATACTAAAAGAGCTCTGTAAATAACCTCTTATATTCACTTGTAAAAGGACAGTTGCCTATCATCAGTTAATTTGTTATTACAACAACATAGTGTGCATTTATTTTTTTATAAGAAAGCCATTTATTACTGTAGTGTTTGTGTGAACATTTAATACTCTGAAACAATTACAAACAGAGATTACAAGTAACTCCAGCTGAAACTAAAAGAGTTACAAGTGTGATGGTGATGAAAATAACAAATTATCTATGTCTCCACCACTAATTTTCCAGTTGTACGTAAGAAGGAAGTGATATCTGTGCTTAGTTGCCATTTATCTAATTAATTTGGGTAGTGTAAGTTATACAATTAATGCATATAAATAGCCCATTTTTGTATAAGTACTACTGTCTATATGTTGACAGAGGCTATTACAGTGAACCCTCACTTTACGCGGTTAATTGAACCCACGGCGGCCCGCGTAAAGTGAGAAACACGTAAAGTGAACAACATAACATATGGGATTAATTGAAATAGAGACCGGGCTGACCCCCAAACTCCACTTTTTCAGACACAATACCTACGTTGTAGTAAAAATAACTTCTTAATTTTATGATGGTATGCACACACAATTAATAATTAAGAGAAATAATAATATTAGGCTTTTTAACACTTACATTAGTAGAAAAGATGGCTGGGCACACGGGGATCCCAGGCAGAGAGCAGATTATTGGCCCTCACCTGTATCAATTGTATCACTATCCACCACAGAGGCTTGCAGGGCCTCTTTGTCAAACTCCTCAAAGTCCATATAAGTCCATATCCTCACTATCACTGACTTGGGCCGGCTGTGGTGGGTGGCGGGTGAAGAACTCGGTAATGTTTTGATGACTGGGCGACCTTGTGCTCACCCTGCTCGCGCCGCTCTCCTCGTAAAAGGGTACACACACCGCGGAAAGTGAGCATTCCGGTTTCGGCAGGGTACCGCGTAAACGTGGAAACGCGTAAAGTGAAACCGCGTAAAGCGGGGGTTTACTGTACGTCCTTCTGATCTTCTTAACCAGGATTAATATAGGTATGTATAAAACTCATGCCATACTGATAAAACTTCATATGGATACCTAGAATACACAAGTAGAAGAGTGGTAGTGTGAACCAGCATCACCCAAGCTGGCACAGCAGGAGAGACAAACAACACAACAGTTGAATAGGGCTGCATTTTTTCAGGCAACCATTTGGCATATAGGCAGG